TTTTTTTTTTTAAATTTATTATACATCATATTTTTACATACATACATACAGCTCTATAAAGTCACGTCTGTTGTCATGAGCTGCCTTTCGAAGAGTCATAAGTTAACCTGAGCGAGGCGCTCAAAGGCAGCAGCAGAGTGAACTCAACCCATGATATCTCGGTAAGAAAAGAAATTTCTCAAAAATTTTAAATGAGTTCTTAGAGTACAAGAATACGAGTTTCAGATATAATCACTGATATAATAAACTCATATGAGCTGTTTTGTTAAGTGAAGTAAAAAATAACGAAGAATCAATCAAGCAATTCTTTTGCTAAAGATTCAGGAAAAATTTGATAGATTTTTAATTTGTTTATTTATATGATAATATTGACTGATAATGAATTGAATGCTGATCTTATAGACGGATTGGTTTTTTTTTTTTTCAAGTTTCAATTAAGAATAGTTAACAAGAAAATCTTATAACAGGAACCATAATCAATTTATACATTATATACTTAAATTCATATATTTAGTGTAAAGGCTCTCTAGATATACCTGGCATATTTTATACAAATATCCTGAGAAAGCAGGACATGTTTGCTAGCTAGCCTTGCAGCTGTAAATAATAGCTGCAGCTTGAGCATAGCTGAAGCTCTGCTGCAGTACAGTGCCGTCCATGGCATTAGGTCAGGTCTAGGTCTGCTGCTGCCGCTGTTGTTGTTGTTGTTGCTGCTGCTGTTGCTGTAAGGCTGGCAACATTTTGAGAAAAGCAAGAGAAAAATTTGCATTTGGCCCGATCGCAGTTCGCGACTTGTCGTTTCGCTGGCGGGATTTCTTTATGACCCGAGCTGGCAGTGGCGCGGAGTTTGATTTCAGCTATGGCCTTTGTTTGCCAGCAAGTTTATTTGATTCTATTTTCATTTTATTTGAATTGTGGTGCGCTTTTATGGCCTGTGCATGAGCCTGAGCCTGAGCCTGGCTGAGATTCGGTTTTTGTGAAAGTTACAGCAAGAGACGCTATCGATGAGCCCCCAAGAAGTTGGCAGAGTCTCAGCCATGGCTCTGACTCTGGCTGTGGCCATTGGTGTTGGCTCTTTACCTTATTTTGTGTATTATTGTTTTTGTTTTTGTTGTTTTTCGCTTGGTGATTGTAAAACAATAAAAGCAACACCTGACTGCCGTTTGCACAGCCTCACAATGGCGTTGATGGCGACGCGGATGCGGACATCGTTGTTGGTGGGCCTTGCCCTGCCTCCCTCCAGTTCCTCAACCACCCAACTACCGGCTGCTGCTGCTGCTGCTGCTGCTGCTGCTGCTGCTGCAGTTGCTGATCTTATCAGCGATTATTTTGTGTGTGTGTTTTTCCTTCTCTATGGCCAAAAATGGTCAATGACAAAAACATGCTTATTGTTTTGTAGATCTGCTGACGCGCTCTAAACATTTCAATTCGCGTTTTCGGGTTCTGTCTGTGCGTTGTCCATAACCAACAGCAGCAGCAACAACAACAACAACAGCAGCAACGGCAAACAAATTGCTGGCTGATTGCTGTTGATGGGAGAGGTCGGACAGCGGACGACGAACGACAGACGGCGTATTGCGGGCACTCGAATCGAAATCTAAATCTAAATAAATAAAAATCGTGCACTGTTAGCTTTTTCTGGCTTTTTTTTTTTTTTTTTGGTTGCTCCTAAGTGAAAGGCAGCGGCGAGATCAGCGTCTTGGCCAAAGTATCTCAATGCGCTGCAAATTTAATCAATTGATGAGGCAGCTTGCAACTGCTGCAACCTGCTGCCTGCTGCCTGCCGCCTCCTGGCAGCTGCCTGCTGCACTTGCTGTCGTTGCTTTTATTGTTGTTGTTATGGTGTGTTGCCTGTGATGGCAATTTGGATTTTGTGGCCAACACAAACCTGACCAGAAAGACATTTACATTCTACGGTTAAGTGTTGTTGCTGCTGCTGCTGTGCAAGTGTCGCAACAACTACAACAGCAACAGCAACTTTACACGCTAGAAACCGTGACTTTAATTTTCTTTAGTTTTCCCCTCCCGCGCGCTCAGCTTTTTCTTTGATTTGTTTTTCCTTTATTTTTTGAAATTTTTTTTTTTATATAATTTCAATTTGATTTTTCCATTCCATGGACTTTTCATTAAATCACCTCACAATGTCGCCAATTTCAGCTCCCCCCACTCCCCTTCCCCCTTTCGCATTGTAATGCTTTTAATTTGTAATTACTTGCACATTTTACTTTCGTTTGTGGCATTTGATTTATGGCCCCGCAAATTGTGGTCGCCAAATCGAAAACTTGGCCAAAACGTGGCAACTGCCAATTGGAATCGTGAGCCGAGCACAAACGTTGCAAGAATTAAGGAAGTTTGCCAATTTGTGTTTATATTGCCAATTGCCTGGTTATTGGTCGCATACGTAATACATGATTTAAGAGATTGTTCAGTTTAAATATAGTAAACGGGGTTTTGAAGTAGATATAGCCCTATTTACGTATAGCCAATTTCGGGATGTTGCAAACAGCAAAGACTTTTCTTTACGATTCTCTTGAATTCAACTTAACTTCTCTCTCTCTCTCTCTTTCCCTCTCTCATTTAATCTATCCCAATCTCCCTCTCTCTTTCTCTCTTCTTCTCTGTCTCTCTTTTTTCTCTCTCTCTCATTATATCTGTCTCAGTCTCCCGCTCTCTCTCTCCCTCTCTCTCTCTCTTTCATTTTGTCTATCCCAGTCTACCACTCTCTCTCTCTCTCGCTCTTTCAATCGATCCTAATCTCCTTTTGTCTTATTCTCTCTCTCATTCTATCTATCCAAGTCGCCGTCTCTCTATCTTTCTCTCTCTTCCTCTCATCTATTTATCCCAGTCTCATTCTCTCTTATTTTATCCATTCCAGTCTGCTGGACTCTCTCTCTCTCTTTCTCTCTCTCTCTTTCTCTCTCTCTCTCATCCTATCTGTCCCAGTCTCTCTTGCTCGCTCTACGTTCCCTCTCTCTCTCTCTCTGCTTTTCTAAGTGTTCGTCTGTTAACTCTTCTGTCATCATCCTAATCCCTCTAAAGCTCATCCTCATCTTAATTGCTAACATCCTCAGTGAGTCAGCAACAATCTTCTCTTTCTAACATTTCACATCCGGTTTAGACCACGGCTATTGGCCGTAGCTCTTCCTGTAAATAAGCTCATTAGCCGTATTGCAGTGTTGCCATTGTCATCGTCGCTGCACTTGACACTTGGCGCTGACACGTTGTTGTCGTAGCACG